GAGAGAGAGAGAGAGAGAGAGAGAGAGACTGAGAGAGACAGAGACAGAGAGAGAGAGAGAGAGAGAGAGAGAGAGAGAGAGAGAGAGAAGAAGCGTCCTGCCTGCCTTGGGTCATACAATTTGTAAATAGTAGAGATAAGGGTTGAAACAGAGACATATGTCCTTGGGGATTCCAGGAATTGCTTCTATTGAGTCTGAATCATAAAATTGCATCTGAGGATGGCTCCTAAAAGCCAACCTGAGGGAAGCAAGGAGGCCCTGGGGAGGAAGGACAATTACTTTGTAGACACATGAAGAGTTTGGAGCAATTTATTTTAAAAAAATCAATTTGCAAACCCCCGGGAAACATCAAAGAGCAGATCATACCATAGAAAGCCGCATTTCCTTCCGTGATAAGTGCCTGCCTGTTACACGCCTTTGTCCGCGATGCAACTACCCCCCTCTAGTGGTGAACATGGAGGAGGTTAGTGCTGGTGCCTCAGGTGGGAGCTTGTAACAGACTAGAGTGTGGCCAGTTCTCATGGAGAGCCCTTCCTCCCAGAGACCTCAGCTGCAGCTTCCAGATTTCCCCAGCCCTCTGCACAGATATGCAGACTTGTAGACACCTCCCTGCAAGGGAAGTCCATTCCCCAGGGTCACAAATGATGTACTGGTCCTTGTGATCGTGCTATATTCTCTCGGGGACATAGGTGAGGAGCTTACCTGGGCAGGATGTTTGTCCTCATGATGGGAGAGTGAAGGGTCTGGATCCCAAGTGAGGAGGGGTCAGAATTTCTAGGAATCATGGCTCTGAAAACAGGGGTAAAAGCTTGTCAGCAGTGAGTTTGCTGTTTTCTTTTGGAGGTAGGGGGCAGGTGGACAGATGTGTGTGTGTGTAGTTTGGGAAAATATGTGGCTTTCAGACCTTGGGTCACAAATCCCCCCTTTCTCTGACTGCTATCAATGCCTGAGCTGGGGGAATAGAACAACCCATATATAATAAGCATATGTTTCATAGTCCCAGAATTTAGGGTTGGAAAGGAACTCAGAGACCATCTGGTCCAACGCATTCCCAACCAGGAATCCTCTCTACAGCATGTCTAATGAGTAGTCACCCAGCTTCTACTTGCAGAGCTTCAGTGACGGGGACCTCATTACCTCTAAGGCAGCCCCTTCCATTTTTGGACAGCTCCAATGATTAGGCAGTTCTTCCACACATCAAGTCAGAAGCTGCCTCTCTGCTCTTCCTTCTGACCCCCTTCTCCTTGTTCTGTCCTTCTGGGCCTGGCAGAACCGGGCCAAGCCCTCAGCCACAAGACAGCTTCCGTATCTTCCCTAAACATCCCTAGTTAGTTCCTTCAGCTAGCCCCATAGTGTATGACCATGAAGGCCCTTCATTGCTCTGCTCGTCCTGCCTGGATGCCCTGTGTTTCCTCAATAACCTTCCTAAAACATGGTACCCAGAATGTCATCCTACGGGAGCATTCTGCTCACCTTGGTGAGGATCGGGGTGGGAACCACTGAGACTCAGGCTCAGACACTCCCTGAGAGGTGGGAGGACCTCAGAGGCCCTCTGTTTAAGAGAGGAAGACTGAGGAAGAAGAAGGCACTCTTCTAGGGTCTCAGCGAGTGAGTGGCAGAGCTCAGGACTTCATACTCTAAACACAGGGTTCTTTTAATCCAACTTAACAAGCATTAATTAAGCTCCTACTATGTACTATGTACTGGAAATACAAAGACAGAAAAACCAAAACAGTCCCTGCCTTCAGTGAGCTTATTGTCCACTGGGGGAGATAACATGCACGCAGATAGTGAAATGCAAACTCTGTACAAAATAATGCAGGGTAGCTGGTTGGGGGAGATCCTTAATATGGGAGGGAGGATCAGGAAACATCTTATGTAGCAACTAGGAGGCTGAGCTGAATCCTGAAGGGAGATGGGGATTTCAGAGGCAGGAAATGCTGCCAGTCTAATTCTGGGCCTGTACTTGAAGTTCTTCCACCTGGGCAGGACCTGCCAGAAGTAGGGCTCCACAGGGAATGGCCATTGAGAGACCAGGGGCCTTTCCTGGCCATGGTGAGATTTCTAAGTGAGGAGTGTCAAGGGAAGAGAAATAACAATAGAGTCTTAGGTTGTCAGAGATGGGAAGGACCCTAGAAATCATTTTATAGAGGAGAAAACCAACCTGATTCGTCAGATGACAGAAATGGGACCCAAAGAACTCTCAGCACGCGAGAATAATGGGCCAAGCTGTAGAAGAGAACAATTAATAGGGATGTGTGAAATCTGACATTTGGGCTCAAACAATCAACTTCACAAATTGACCTTTCTGTGACACTTGAAAGTTACAGAGCAGGTTTATAGCCCCTATCTCATTTGGTCCATTTCTAACCCTACCATTGTGAGGCAAGCAGGGTGGGTTTTCCTATCCCCATTGTACAGATGAGAGTACTGAACCTCAGAGAGGTTTGAGTGACTTCCTCAAGGTTACACAACCAGTGAATGGCAGGGTCCATACTCAGGCTTCAGTTTTCTACCCCTGAGTCCAACACTGGAGTATAGGATCCCAAGGAGGAAGTCTGGAGTAGTGGATAGAGTATTAGGGTCAGAAAGGCCTGAGTGTATCTTGCCTCAGACATTTGCTAGCCGTCTTGTTAGGGTCAAATTTGGGAGAGCAGGTCGGGTGTGAAAGAATTCATTTAGACGACGTTCTCTTAGTTATTCATCAGGAGTTTTATTTAACGTGTAAGCAGCATGGGCCTCCTTGATATTTGGGGGAGTTAGCTCATATAGAGGTTTCAGAATGATGATGTAGTTTTAGAGGTTTTTATGGAGGTTAAAGATTAAAGACAGGACAGGACGAGGGAGACAAAAGGAATTCTTTATAGGTTAAAGATTTAAGGACAGGACAGGTTGGACACAGGTTAAACATTAGAGATGGGGGAACACAGGATAAGGGAGCTTGGAAGATAAGGAGAAGTTTTGTGGTATTTCAAGATAAAGGGAAGAGATTTTATGGCACTCTCAAGTTACAGGATTTCCAAAGTACTGGAAAAGCAACCCCTAATATTCTTTTTAACCCTTAGGGCACCATTTGTATACACATCAGTGAGACCCCAGGGCAAATTCCTTAACCTCTCAGCCTCTCCTCTGTGAAATGGGGCTAATAATAGCAACCACCTCCAAGGGTTAATGTGAGGATCCAATGAGATAACATATATAAGGTGCTTGCAAGCCTTAAAGGGTGATGGAAATGTTAGTTATCATTATTATGATGATTTTCATCCTCCTCCTCCTCCTCCTCCTCCTCCTCCAGGGCTGCTTTTCTTGTAGCGCAAGCTGGATGAGAGCCTCTCTAGGGTTCCTTCCAGGCCTGGCTTTTCTTCATGCCTAGCCCAGGGCCTTCCACATAGAAGGCACTTAACAAGTAACAGTGGATTTTGTATTTGTTCATTTCTTTGTAAACACAAAGACCTCAAGCTGGCATTTCTCAGTTCTGACCTCTGAATGGAGTATCCCTCAAGTCACCAAAACCAAAGAAACTACTTGGGGGCTGCCAGGTGCAAAACCCAGCTGTTTATACCTGCTGAAAGAACGCAACTGTCTTCATGGCCAACTGAATTTCAACCCCTGAACAAGGGCCTGGTAGCCCTATCTTAGTTTCAACTCTGTTTGCTATCTCCTAAACCTCCTCTCCAGAGGGTGACAAAATGCTGTTGTCTCCACTTTCCTGGTGATAGAATAGCCAGGAAGAAAAAGGATTCCTGGGTTCAAATCCTGCCTTGCCTCCACGTGACCTTGGGTCAGTCATTTCACCACCTCTCTCCCCACTCCTGCCAGGCATCCTGAGCTGGGCTGTTTGCCACTCTCTGGTTCTGTTTTAACTCTTCCTTCTTTTACTGATTTCAGGTTGTCACAGTGGATGTGAAGAACAAGAAAGCCATATTCAAGGATGGTTTTAAGATGGAATACAATAAGTTGCTGTTGGCCCCAGGAAGCACGTAAGTGGCCCTGGGGTGTGTGTGAGGGGAGAACAAAAGCAGGCTCTAGACCTCTCAGGTCTGCAAATCACTTTGCTCAGTCAGTCAACAAGCTTTTATTAAGTGCCTACTATGTGCCAGGCGTTGCACCAAGTGTTGGGGCTCAAGAAAGGCAAAAACCTAGTCCCTACCCTCAAGGAGCTCGCCCTGCAAGGTAGGGAATGTAATCAGCATCTTCCATTATGCAGATTAGGAAACTCAGGCCCATCAGAGTAAACGAGGAAGTGTCAGAGGTGAGGTTTGAACTTGGGTCTTCCTGACTCTAGATCCAACACTGTGTCCACTCCGGATGCCAAGCTGCCCTCCCCGTGTGACTTTTCTGGTCCTATGCATCCATAATGATGGTTTTCACCTCCCTTCTTATTACTAAGTTATTGTCAGTGATGTCTTGCCACCCACTGCCACCCATTTGTCTCTCTGTTGCCCTTGGGGTCACCCACAGTTTTGATTCTTCTGAGATAATGGTGTTCCATGATTCACAGTCATAGAGCAGCCCCAGAAGAATATATTGAAAGAGGTGGGATTATCTCAGGGGACCAGCTTGGGATATATTGAAAGTTCTGTGTAGTTCCCCAAATACAATCCAGCCTTGCCCCCAGCCCCATCTCCCCTATCCAATTCTTGACTCATCTCATCCCAACACATCCACCTCATCCTATATACTTTTCACCCAATTATTTATATACACTGATGAACTGTGGGCAGTTCATCCATCTGCATGTCATAATCTGGACAGTAGGCATTTTTCATCCACTTGGTTTTTCTTGTGTGGATTGCTAAGCATTACTTGAAATGGGGAAAAAACATTCATTCAATATTTACTGACTCTGCTCTGTTCATGTTCTTCTACTAGGTACAAAAGGGGTCACCCAGATGACTAGACATAATCCCTTCCCTCAAGTTGTTTACACAGTAGTTAGGAAGATGGTAGCCCTGCTGAGTTACCAGGGAGACCATTCTCAACACCTGCTTTTGTGAACCTTAAAGCACCACATACATTGTTATTATCCTTCTAAGAACCCTGTGAGGTATAGAATAGAAGCAGTCAGCCCAGTTTTACAGATGAGGGAACTGAGGCCCAGAGAAGGTGAAATTACTTACCCATGGCCACACAAGTAGTGACTGGTAGAGCTGGGATTCACTTGAACCTAGGACTTTTGACTCCAAACCTACTGGAGACTTACATTCTACCAAACCTGCCTCCTAACTAAAATAGTAACGGAACAAGAAGAGTTCCAATGAGAAGTGTAGACATGGCATTTTTGATGGCTCTGAAGAATGAGGGTTCATGCCTGATTGTCAGCGGGTCCGGGCAGGATTCCCAGAGGACATATTCTTGGAAGGGGGGGAGGATTTTAATAGGAAGAGGATGCACATTTAATAGGCACATTCTGCTCCACCATACAGAGAGCCTGGGACTCCCTTGGCCCTTGCTGGCCCAAGAGGAGAAAGGGCACTGACCTCTTTGTTCCCCTGGATAGACCCTTAACCCAGGCGGAGCAGAGGGATCTCGGGATTTGGAGTCTCAGGCCCTGGATTGGCATCCCAACTCCACTATTTACTGCCTGAGTGACCTTCATATAAGTCATTGCCCCCCCCCCCAAGTCTCAGCTCTTCTCTGTAAAATAATTCAATGGTAGACTTGTCGCTTGGACATTATTCATCTACCTGGAAGTCACTAGGACACTTCAGAGAGGAGGAGGGGCATGAATTAAGAGGAGACATTCAGGGGACTTGGGGAGATTACAGGAGAAAATTGTTGGCATCTCAAGGGGATTTATGGGAAGGTTGGGGGAAAACTGAGGGGACTGAGAGTATTAAAGGGGAGGCTGGGGGAGGGGATTAAGGAGCTGAGATGGAAAGAGTTTCTTGATGAATTCCCTAATTAAGCTCACTCTGGCCAAGTCACTCCTTTGCTCAGAAAGCTTCATGGCCCCCTCCTGACTCTAGGACAAAAACAGCCACTCCTCCACGAGCATTTCGAGCCTTCCCAGTGGGGCTCCAGCACATCTTGCCAGATCGATTACAATTACCCAGCACTTTGCCTGTGTTTGCTGCTTGCTGACTTGATACATAACAGTCCAGCCCTGGCCTCTGGGTCTTTGCCAGCTGCCCCCATGCCTGGACTGTGCTTTTTCCTCATCTCTCTGGCCTAGATTTCTTTGCTCAGCTGCTCCCTCCTCTACCTCGCTCTCCTCATTTCCCCTCCTACCCAGGGGTGAGCCCACCTCTCCCTCTTGAATTTACTCTGTTTTGCTTTGCATTTGCTTCTCTGTATATGTGTTGTTCCCCCAACAACCACCCCAGTAGAACCTAAACTTCTTTTTTTTAAAAAAATTATTTATTGCCATTCGTTTTTAAAAATGTTGGGTTCCTGATTCTTTTCCTCCAGCCCCTTATTGAGAAAGCAAGAAATTCAATACCCGTTATATGTATGAAGTCATGTAAAACATTTCCACATTAGCCACGTTACCAAAAAAAAAGGAAAGAAAAATAAAAAAATAAAAAATATCTGCTTCAATTTACACTCAGAGTCCATCTGGTGTGTCTCTCAGGAAGTAGATGCATTTTTCCTCAGGTGTCTTTTGGAATTGTCTGGGACCGTTGTCTTGATCAGAGTAACCAAATCTTCCACAGGTGATCATTGTTACAATGTTACCATTATTGTGGACAGTAGAACATAAACTTCTTGAAGGCAGGGGCTGTTTCCTTTTTTGTCTCTGTATCCACAGTCCTTAGTGTGGAGCCTGGCACACAGTGGACGCTTGGTAAACGCTTTTTGGATGAATGAAGGTTAAAAGTTGGAGAGGAAACCTACTAAATAGAGATGATATTAGAATAATTTTGTCTCTTTTTTGGGGGGAGTGTAGCCCCAAGACACTCAGCTGCAAAGGAAAAGAAGTAGAGAATGTCTTCACTATTCGGACCCCCGAAGATGCCAATAGGATAGGGAAGCTGGCCCGTGGGAGGAACGCAGTTGTTGTTGGGGCTGCCTTCTTGGGTGAGTAGGCCTTGGACAGAAGCCTCCAGGCTCCCCTCACACCCTGAGGCACCATCCTTGCCTCAGCCCCTTAGCAGGTCAGAGCATCGCTCCTCCCAAGAGGTCAGTGCCTAGCTTCATCTCCTTCCCTTGGGGAGGTCAAAGTATCCATCTCGTCTCAGTCCCCTGAGCAGCTGGGGGCATCCATCCTCCTCCTCGAGGCTGCACGGGACAGAGTCATCAGAGGGTCCCCATCTCCTCTCAGTCCCCTGGGTCAGCGTGTCTTTCTTGTCACAGGAATGGAGGTAGCGGCATACCTGACTGACAAGGCACACTCTGTGTCAGTTGTGGAGTTAGAAGAGACACCGTTCCGAAGGTTCCTTGGGGAGAAGGTTGGCCGAGCCCTCATGAAGGTGAGAGGCTGGCCCGGCCGGAGAGCAGAAGCACCCCTGCTGAGCACGTGTTCTTATAGCGCCCCTGGGGAGAGGGAGGCCCAGAGACCCTTCCCCTGGGGACAGAGAGCTTCTGGGGGACCCACCTCCCCCTTCTCTTCCTACAACAGATGTTTGAGAACAACGGGATCAAGTTTTACATGCAGACAGAAGTCTTGGAGCTTCGGGCCCAGGAAGGGAAGGTAGGTGTCCCCCAGACTCCCTGTGTTCACCCTTCTCTTCTCGCCCTTCCCTGAGCCCCTTTGAAGGCCCCTCCCGTTCAGTCCAATTCCAACCCAATTCAGAAAAACATTGGTTAGGTCAGGAGGGAAGGGCAGGTGGAGAGCGCTCTCCCTGGTGCTGAGAGAGAGCAGCGGTTGGGAAACCCATTCAGTCCCTGCTCTCAGGGAGCTTACAGCCAAAACAAAACAAAACAAAACAAAAAAACTAGATTCTCCAAGGAGATCAGAGTTGGGAGGAACCATCTGGCCCAATCATTTCATTTTATAGAGGAGAAAACAGACCAAAAGTGTCAGAAGACAAAGTCAGGACCCAAAGACAGCTCAGGAAGCTAGAACATTGGACCAGGCTGAGGAGGATGTAACCAAATGAGGATAAATGTCAAGTCCTACACTTGGGTTCAAAAAGGCAACTTCCCAAGTATAGCTGGGGGGAGGGGTGTGACCAGGGGCTATGAGGAACTAAGCCCCTCCCCCCATACTCACGTATAAGGCGCAGAGTCACGGGCTTTAAAGGATCTTCTTACCACAGTGCTGTGACAGAGCTAGGTAATACAAGTAAGATGCCACATTACAAAGGACAAACTGAGACTGAGAGTTTGGGGACTTGTTCCAGGCCACAGGCAGCAAGTGGCCAAACTGTCACACTCCAGCCAGGTCCTCTGACCCCCCAGTCTGGAGCCTTTTCTGCCTCACTAGCCGACCTCTAAAGGATTTGGGAAGGTATGAGATGCTTTTAAAGTGTGGTAGATAATGTGTGCTAAACTTGGAATCAGGAAGACAGATCCGGGTTCAAGTCCTGGCAAGTCCCTCGAGCACGTGGCACTCGGGCAAGCTTTGCCGTTACTTATGCTGACTAGTGAAATGGAAACACTAATTCGACTTCAGAGCTCTCAGTGCCAACAAGCTTTATTAATTAAATGTGTGCAAACATTAGTTTATATTATAAATTAGACAGTTCAAATGTTGACCCCACTAGGAATGAGCTGTCAACCTAATTTCCTTGGGCTTCTCACTACTATGTCTTATACTGGTATTCAGTAACAAGGCTCCTTCTCTGCCCTGTTGGAGGCCATGGGCCTCCATCTAATGTGGCTGCAGAACAAATCTGGAAATCTCTATCAGTCATCACTGCCCTCAACTGAACATAGTGGATGCTGGAGTCTCAAGTGTGGACAACCTAGGAGAGACCTATGATCAGTGACCCCCTGTGGGGATCTCTGGCAGATTTCTTGTAGTACCAACTAGGCATGTTGGCTAATTACACCCAAATTTTGGTTGGTGGTCAGTAACCTAATTTTCAATTTTTTTAATAATAGATTCAGATTTATTTTTTTACAACCAAGAAGGAGGGAGATAGGGTCTCTAGCCTCCTGGTAGGGAGGTTTATTATGTGTCCTGTCCTTTTTTTTGTTTATTTAGTATTTCATTTTCCCCAGTTACATGTAAAAACAATTTTTAACATTCATTTTTAAAACTCTGAGGTCCAAATTCTCTCCCTTCCTCCCTCCCCACCCTCCACATTGAGAAGGTAAGTACTTTGATATGAGTTATAAGCGTACAGTCATGCAAAACATATCCGTAACAGTTATGTTGTGAAAGAAAACATAGACAAAGAAAACTCAAGAAAAATAAAGAAAGCTAAAAAAAGTCTGCTTCAGTTTGTATTCAGACACCCTGAGTTCTTTCTCTGGGGATGGATAACATTTTTCATCACAAGTCCTTCAGAGCTGTATTGGATCATTATATTTCTGAGAATAATAGCTAAGTCATTCACGGCCAATCATCTTACAATATTACTGTTACTTTGTACACAGGACATTTCACTTTGCTTCAGCTCGTGTAAGTCTTTCCAGGTTTTTCTGAGAGCTCCTGCTCATCATTTCTTATATAGCACAATAGTATTCCATCACAATCGCATACCACAACTTGTTCAGCCATTTCCCAATGGATGGGCATACCCTCAACTTCTAATTCTTTACCCCCAGAAAAGAGCTGCTGTAAATATTTTTGTACATGTGGGTCCTCTTTCTTTTTCTTTTTTATCTCTTTTGGGATTCAGGCCTAGTAGTGGTATTGCTAGGTCAAAGGAGAAACCTAATTTATTTACCCATTCATTTAATTGGTGCCTAATGCCATAAACTAATAACATAGTTGTTTATCAGGTTTTCCCATTGGTTGTCTGTGCTTCTCTGGGGTTCCCATATGCATATCGTTTGTTTATGAACCACACACAGGCATACACACACACACATGTGGTTTACTGACCTATGCTCACCTTGATATTGAAAAGCATCAAGATACTCCATCACAAAATGGCAGCGTGATGCCAGATGGAGTCAGCTCTGTGGAGCCGACAAAGTTATTCTCACTACAGTCCCTTCATCTCTGAGCCTCAGTTTCCTTTTCAGTAAAATGAGGAAGTTGGATTTGATGACCTCTCAGGTCCCTTCATGTAGTACATCTACCATCCTATGATCCTAAGTTCTTTGTAAACTGTAAAGTACTTTTCAAGGATAAAGTGCTTTGTGAATGGCTAAGTTGTTTATACACTGTAGAGTGCCATATAATTTGAGGGGTTATCATGAGCAGAGTGTAAACTGTTTGAGGGCAGTTTCTTTTTTGTCTGTTGTGGCTAGCACAGGACCTGATCCATAGGAGCGGTAGGGACGGACCTTGTGATTTCACTGGTATAGAGAACTCTAGGCTGAGGAAGCTCCCTCTGCGACTATCTTCAGGAGTGGTTAAGGGCACCCAGAGGCCAAGAGTCTGGCTCACTCAACCAGAATGTGGGATTAGAACCCTGAACTTCCTGATTCCAAGGCAGGCCCTCTGTCCACCATGCCAAGTACCTCACATAGGTACCTCATACTTGGTGCACCATATATGCTTGTGGAATCGAAGTGAATGAGCTGGCCTGCGACAGTGGAAAGAATGCTGGTTCAGGGTCTGAGGACCGGCTTCAAGCCCAGGCCAGACTCCTTTCTAGCTGTGTTTCTCCAGACACTGAGCCTCAGTTTCCTCTCCTGTACAGTGGAGCTGATCTTCTTCTCAGCGCTGCTGTGGCATCTGAAGGGGCTGTGCAGCTGGGAGCTGGGTGGTGGTGACTGAGGAAAGCAAAGGCCTCCAAGTCTGGCAAGATTAGTTTTGAGAAATCCCATCAGTGGAGACTCATCTTCCCTTGGCTCCCCATCACGGCCTTGCTGGCTTCCTAGCGGGTCACAATAGTGGTAGCCCCCTGCCCCCCACATCCATGGGTGGCTGAGAAGTGGGGGGAGCTGGTCCAGGGAGAAGGTTCTGGCTCAGAGAGGGCAAGGGATTTCTTGAGGTCACACAGCAGGTTGGACTTCCATCCAGGTGTTTTCATGCCTTGGGACTTCACCTCCCCCCGCCCCCAGCCCAGCGCTGGTCCCAGATTTGTTCCCTCCTACATAAAGCACTCTGTTTCGCTCATTTATCATGTGGGTAAAGGTCTTGGGGTTGGGGGGTGACGAGGGACTCTCAGCTTGGTGTCTTCCCTGCCCCACTCTGTCCCAGCTCCTCACCTCCTGCTTCTTTCTCCCCTCCCTGCAGCTGAAGGAGGTTATCCTGAAGAGTGGCAAGGTGGTCCGGGCTGACGTCTGTGTGGTGGGCATCGGTGAGTGGGCACCGCTCCCCCCACTCCCCTGCCAGGCAGGGATGGGGCTGGGCTGGTGCTAGGGCCAACTGAAATGGGGTTATAGGGAGGGAGTCAGGAGGAAGTAGGACTGGTGTGGGCACTCCAGGCTCTAGGCTAGGCTTGATGGCAGAGGTCTGGGGCAGCCGGGGGAGGTGGCTCAAGGCCAAAGCTGGGGGTGCCTTCGGGCCGCAGTCAGGGTCCTAGCCCGAGTTAGGGATCGAGCCGGGGTGAGGCCTAGGACTGAGCCTGGGGTGCAGGTTGAGGTTAGGGACAGAGTTGGGGTGATAGTTGGCATAGGGTTCGGTGTGAATGTTGGGTTGGGTCTCCCTCGAGGTTTGGGGTGAAACAATGAATTAAGTTTGGGGCTAAGGCTGAAGCGAGCGTTGGGGCTGATGGTAGACAGTTGCCTTTCACGCTCCAGAAGGCCCAGGAGAGGAGCCCTCAGGTTCCATCCTTCCCTCCTGCTGGCTCCTGGGCATCTCTCAGGGCAGTCTGGACCAGGGGGCAGGACAGACTGCCTCACACCTACCTCTGTCCCATCAGGTGCGGTGCCAGCCACGGGCTTCCTTAAACAGAGCGGAATCAACATGGACGCCCGGGGCTTCATTCCAGTTAACAAGGTCAGGTTGGGTCCCCCTCCGGGGTCAGGGTGGGGAGGCTTCCCAGGGGGGTGCTGTGCAGGCTGCTCAGAGACACCGTCCCCCCGAGGGGCCCTTCGGGAGGGCGAGTCAGGGCTGAGCGGTCAGGACCCTGACCTGGAGGGGTCTGCTGGGCTCTGCGCTGGGCAGGATAGGTCTGTTCTGGGTCTGCGCTGGGAGTTCCAGGCTCCAGGCTGGGCTCTTGGCCTGTGAGCTCTTCCAGACTGATGCGTCTGTGTCTTCCCTCTACTGCCCTGCTCGCCGTCTGCATTTTACTCCTCCTCCTTCCCCAGATGATGCAGACAAACATCCCTGGCGTCTTCGCGGCGGGGGATGCCGTCACGTTCCCCCTGGCCTTGAGAAGCAACAAGAAAGTGAACATTCCACACTGGCAGATGGCCCACATCCACGGTGCGCGTGGGGCCCCGGGGGCCTTCCAGGCAGACGCCAGCTTAGCCTTGCGCTGCTTTAGAAGGGGGTGGGGTGGGGAGGGACTAGAAAACTCTGAGAGCCCACAGCTGCTGGGCTCGGTCCTGAGAAGGCAGACCCACATCTCCTTCAGCACCTTTCACCGGGCTCCACACCAAGCAAACACAGGAAATGTTTGTTGAATGAATAGCAGGGATGCCCATTTCTATGCTGCCTTAGTTTACAAAGTGCCTTCCTCACAGCAGCCTGTTGAAATAGACAGTGCATTAAGATACCCACGGTATAGAGAAGGAGACTGAGGGTCTGAAGGGGGCTCAGGGCCACACGGCCAGGAAGGGGCAGAGCTGAGACTCTGGTACATTTCTTCAGACTCCAAAGCTAGTGCTCTTTCCACTAGACTCTGTGGTCTGCAGCGAATGAAAAAGCATTTATGAAGTGATTACTGTGTGCCAGCTGCTGTGCTGAGTGCTGGGGATATAAATACGAGCAAACAAGGCCGACCCTGCCCCCAAGGAGCTTCCATTCTATTAGGAGAGGGGAGCTCTAGGGGAGGCCAGGGAGGAGCATGGTGGACGGGAAACAGAGACAGTGGTGATTGATAGGATTGGGTCATGGTTGATATGTCGTTCTAGGAAATGGTGGTTGGATGGATGAAGGTTCCCAGAGTTAGCCTTAGTAGGGGTCACAGAGGAGGGCACACAAGCCAGGGATGTGGTCTGGTGGGTTTTAGATGGTTCAAGACAAAAGGGGCAGCTAGGTGGCATGGTGGATAGAGTTCTGGCCTTGGAGTCAGGAGGACCTGCGTTCAAATTCAGCCTCAGACACTTAACACTTACTAGCCGTGTGATCCTGGGCAAGTCACTTAACCCCGATCACCTCACCCAAAAAAAAACCACCAAAAAAACAAAAAACAAAGGCGATAGCTTACCAACCAGTTCTGAGTCGCAAGAGTGGGACCTTCAGTGCTGGACAGAGGTGGACACTAGAGAGGAGGCCCCATCACCTGGAGAAAGCCAGGATGGGGCAGATGGATGGATGCATGGATTGATAGATGTGAGTACATGGGTGGATGGATGAACAGATAGGCAGGTGGATGGATAGTTGGATGAAGAGTGAATAGAGAAATGGGTAAGACATTTATCAAGTGATTACTGTGCACCGGGCACTGAGCTAAGTATTGGCAATACAGATGTAAGCAAAAATAAAGGCTGTCCCTGTCCTCAAAGAGCTTCGATTCTAATGGGGGAAGATGACACATCAGAGAGAGCTGAAAAGAGGAGAGGGAAGGATGGAAGGGGGCACATATGGGGGAGGGGTCCAGTGAGTCATGGATGGATGGACAGATAGGTAAAATGGACAGATGGCTGCACCGACTGCAGTAAAGGGATGGATGAAGTAATGTACGTGCTGCTGATGAATGGATCAATCATTGGGGAGAAGAGACAGACGGATGGATTGGTGAATGAGGAAAGGAGATACAGGTCAATGAATGATGGGGATGATGATGGATGGTTGGATTGGGGGATAGAATAGACAGCTAGAGGAATATGTGATGGATGAATTAATGAATGAAGTGATGGATGGAGGGGGTACACCTCATCTACGTCATTGATCAGAAATCTGAGTGAGATTTTGAACACTTTTGACACTCAAATTTCAGGCAAGAACAAACAAACATTTCAGGGAAAGGTGTGCACGATCTATCTACTCTCTCCCTTCCCTTTTCCCCTCCTGAGGCTCAGTGAAGTAGGGAGAATGCCCCGCCCCCCACAAGCCTTTGAGTATTCGCTAAGAAGCAGTCTTGCATGGACAGAAATACCACCGTCTTGCCCTTGGTAAAAGGGCCTCCCCATCCATCAGAGCAGACACCTCCCTCCGTGTCTTAGCAGGTGGTTTCATGAGTGTCTATGGCCAGAATCTGCATGCCTCTGTGGCCAGCCTTCTGGCACTGTGCCGTGATGCATTTATCCCAGCTTGGCTTTGATGAGGGACAGAGTCCATCTGTATGTACTGGAAGCCTTTCTGGCATGGTAAGAATGTACAGGACTTGGGATCACCTTCGAGAACTCAGGACCATCTGCCCAAGATACAGGAGGGGGATGCTAGTGGAGAACCTGGTCCAGAGTTTGAGAAGATTTTATTTGTCAGTCAGTAAGCATATATGGAGTACCTAGTATGTGTCAGGCATTGGGCTAAGTGCCCAGGAAAGGCAAAAGATAGCCCCTGGGCTTAGGGCGTTCATAGTGTGATGTAAACGACTATGTATAAATAAGATGTATATGGGTTAAATTTGAGATAATCCAGAGGGAAGCACTAGAATTAAGGGGAATCAGGAAGGGCTCCCCACAAAAGGTAGGATTTTAGTTTGAAGGAAGCCAGGGCAGCCAGGAGGCAGAGAGAGGAGGAAGGAAAACACTCCAGGGGACGGCTGATGAAAATGCCCAGTCGGGACATGGAGCGTCTTGTTGGAGGGAGGCCAGCGTCTCTGGATCACGGGGTGCCCATACAGTATGGGGGAGGTAGAAGAGCAAGAAGACTGAGAAGGTGGGGGCCAGGTAGGAAGGGCTCGGAAAGCCAAACAGAGGGCTTTTGTATTTGATCCTGGGGAGCCACCCAAATGGGAGAGGGTGACGGTGATGTGGTCAAATCTGAGCTTTAGGAAAGAATATTTTTTTTTTGGCTTTTTGGTGAGGCAATCGGGGTTAAGTGACTTGCCCAGGGTCACACAGCTACTAAGCGTCAAGCGTCTGAGGCTGGATTTGAACTCAGGTCCTCCTGACTCCAAGGCCAGAGCTCTATCCACTGCGCCATCTAGCACCCCAGAAAAGATTAATTTTCCAAAGAAACAGTGTCTGTAAAGCATTTTGCCGGCCCTAAAGAGCGTGGAGAGATGAGGACATCATTACTGTTTGTCAGACCTTGCCTTCGGGCACAGTCTCGTGCTTTGGTCGCGGGCTTCTCCCCGGTCCCTTGGATACTCCCAGAATTCCCTCATCTTGGCACTGGAGAGACCTCTGGGGCATCAGGGCCAGCCTGCCCTAACGTTCCTCTCTCCTCATGGGAGGTTCTGATGATTCCTTTCCTCCTGACACCACGCCCCAAGTTCCCTTTTTATAGCTCCCCACTGTTGCTCCACAGGGCTGCCAGGGGGCACCATAGTGCGCAGAGCGGCGGGCCTGGAGTCAGGAAGGCTCATCTCCTAAGTTCAAATCTGGCTTCAGACACTTGCTAGCTGGGTGACCCTGGGCAAGTCACTTCACCCTGTTTGCCTCAGTTTCCTCCTCTGTAAAATGAGCTGGAGAAGGCAATGGCAAACCACTCCAGTTTCTCTGCCAAGAAGACCCTGAATGGGGTCACAGAGAGCTGGACACAACTGAAATGACTGAACCACAGCTACCCCGTTACTCATTGTTCTGCTCTCTAGGGCCGAACAGAACCAGTTAATCCCCCTTTGAGGTGATGGCCGGACAGCCCTTTACATCTTAGAGATGGTTGTCACCTCCTCTCTGAGGCTCCTTTCTGAACACTCCCAGGTCCTCCAAGCAGGGCCCCTAAGGCAGGGCCTTAAGACCCTTCCCCATCCTGGGCACTGTCCTACCCTCAATGCCTTCTTAAAATGGGGGGCCCGGGCCCAGCCCTGCACTGTGCACACATTCACCCACTCACTGTTGCTGATCACATGCATGCTCAAACATCACAGGAAAGCCCTCACTGGGCACGGGGGTGCTCCCAGCCCCCAGAGCCACCTGCTGCTTCCTCTCTTGTCATTGGTGACCATCATGGTGGGGCTGAGCTGGGGGAGAGCGATGTAAGGGGAGAGGCGTGCTGGGCAGGCACGTCCACCCTCCAGGGCCTGGGG